ACAACTCAGCATTTAGACAAGGCTTTGAGGAAGAATATCAAGCTCAAGCTCCGACATTTATGGACAAGTAACCCAGAAAAGGCGTGATTCCGTAGCATCTCAAATCACAGTCTAAATGGCCACAGCCAGGGATGACGCCAGCATATGGGGCTTGGATACGAAGGTTGTGGAAGAAACAGCAGACTTACGCCAATGAATGCGATGTCGTTGTGAGAGCGCGATCGTAAGCAAACTGGGAGGATCCAATGAACGACAGGGCTCTCAACGACAGTCCTAGAGAGTATTCCACACTCAGGTGCCTTGAGACTTGAATCTGGGGCAGCTTTGGGTGTGGTCGAAGAAGCGTTCAAAGCATCTTGAAAGTTAACGGTCTGCGTCACCCACTCGCCATCTCTAAGAACGCTGCTCTGAAAAGCCATTCTGTCCGCTTCATGGCATTAGAAATTGAGTTATAGGTGGCGGATGATGTCCCAAGGGCGGGAGTGATGGTTGCAGGAGGCTGTCAAAACGATGAAACGAAGGATATCACGCGGGACATTGGTGACGTTTCAGTGATAGCTAATATGCCGAGTCGAAGTACAATCAGGTAAGGGGGGCCAGATTACCGAGAAAGCAAGCATTGAACGGACTCAGACGCCAGGTGCCTCGCTACCGCATGTACTGACTGTGCTGTACAATGTTGGTCTGTTGTTGTTGGTGCTGGCGTTGTCCAGTGGGGAAAGATGCGCGACGGTCCAACACCAATGTGAGGTCGCCTGATTAACGCCTAACAGCAGTTTCCTGGTTTCGACAATGACGATTTAGCTGCAGAAGACTGAGTGTCATGGAAGAGGGGGTCGATGAACAAGCTTGAACAAAGTCTCAACCTCTATTAGGCAGTGGGCTAGCTGCGATATAAGAAATTTTTGTATCTGATACCTGAAGGTTGGAATCCAGGTGGAAGAAGACTTCGGATGGAAGAGAAGCTAAGGAAGTCGTCCAGGGCTAAGTGAGCTGGCTCGATCTGTGATACAGTATTTATCGAAAGCGCGAATATTTTGAGCTCGGAAAAGATACCGGCGAAACTGACGATCAAGGGTGATAGAGAGACGACCAATTCTTGTTTGTGAAGTTAAAAGAAGAAGAAGAAGAAGAAGAAATTGAGCTGTCAAGGTTTGTGTGTGTGTGTATGTGTTTTTTGGAGACACCGCGGAGATTAGAATGAGGTGTGAGTTGTTCCAAGGATGGATCGATCATTGATCAGGTCAGGGCAGCGTGTTAGACAGAAGCCCTATTCGTTTAGTGATTGGCACTTATAGCCAAGGATTGGTGAATCAATCTCGGGACTTGAATTGAAATGAGAGCCACCATGGGCATGGGGTCGGTATAAGAATCAGACTGGTCTGAGAGGGAGATAGAGAGTCAGACAGAGAGAGATTCGAGGCGAGGCGTGTGAGGCTCCACGGGAATCAAAGTTTAAGAAGCGACATGGAAGCCCGAGGTCCACTCCACTTGATTGCCCTCCACTTCCATTTCTGCCGTAAAGATCTCGAGCGGCGGATAGATTTTTAGCGCCAGTCGGGTCCCTGCAAGATTCCGTCTGTGTAACGAGTGACACAAAAGAATCATGGTCCCCAGCACTAAAAAGGTCAAATTCTGATGCTCGACGCGCCATGAATCCTTGTTCACCTGCAAGTTGCCTTGAGTGATGATAGCTGGACGACCCGGTTTCACCCTAGGTACTAAGGTACCTTGCGTATACTACCTACTAACCTACTAACCTATGGAACCAGGCCAGCAACTTCAAGCAACATTGTAAGATTGCCCATAGTATCTTACTCAGAATTGCCCTGGGACACCAATTGCCTCCGTGATAAAGGCCAGGTAGTCCAAGGTAACTCCCATGAAAACTCTAGTACCTTGAGTCGGTAAGGTGCCTACCTACCTTCTACCTGTCTGCTTTAGTCTGTATCGTAGTGTGCAACCAACAGGTAGGTGTGCTTGGAGCCTCCTCCATTCACTGCGATTGAGAAGAATCTTCCGCCTGAGCCCTCCGTAGAGGGCTGCTTCGTGGAACCCCCACGGAGGTTTGATAATCCCTCTCCCAGAACCAATCTCGACTACTATTCAGCCAAAGAAGAAACCATTTTTGTACATACGTACATATACCTACACATACAGCACATGTTCAACCCTAGATCCCTGTACATAACGTACCATCTTCGTCAATGATGACGATCTGATACCCGGCATCGCAGGGAAGAGCCTTTGATCTCGACAGACTGGTGAAGAATCCTCGAACTTCGGCCGATCCCTGTTATTTCACAAGGACAGCCACTCATTCTTGAGAAACCATCCATGAAGCATGACCCTGGAGTTTGGTATGCAGCAGAATTGGTAGTCGGCCAAGGCTCATCAGCTCGGTTCTGATGAGCACCCAAGCACTCCAAAACTCCGCAAGAGGCGACCGAGAACCAGGGGGTCGGTAACTCGAGCGGCTCTTCTTAGGTCAAACGGGTGCCAACCACACCTCATGTGGTTGGCTGTCGACTCACATCGGCCTTTGTGTTGCGTTGCGTTGTGTTGTGTTGCAGTTCGATTCTTAGAGGAAGTTGCTGTCCGAATTACGTACTACGTATAGGAAATCATGGATAACTACTAGAATTTAGGGGATGCACTATTTCGACTATCTTTCTTGTCAGCTTCGTCATTTCCTACCGATCGACTAGTAAGAAAGCTAGCTCTAGCTGAGCTTCTTGAGCTGGGCCGACCACAGACAACCTAGTCTAGTACATGGGACTTCGCTCCGATTCAACCAACGGCATATCACATTCTCATCCTGAGCGGCTCTTGACATTCCCGAAATCATTAATAAATCATCCAGAAGAACGATTATGGAAATTCCAGCAGCCATTAGGCCGAGCCTGGACCAGCCAAGTGTCTCAGCCTCCGTCCCTTACTTTTATCACCACCAGCCATACTCACACGAGACACAAATATGCCCTTCTGCCTTTTTGGTCACACCGACTTGAATTAGTCGCCTAAGGATCAAGTGGGCACGAACTCAGTCACAATGACGCTTAGCCAGTCAATCGATCAAATGGCTTTGTGCTTTTCTTTATTAATGCCGTTTGATCTACAAAGAGGTCTCAGCATTAGGGGACCTTCGAGTGTATCTCGAGAACGAACCTATTCTTGGGCTTTTGCCATCTCTAAACCAGCCACAGTCTTTCCCGTGGCACTCTGGCACCAACTGCAATTACTACCCCAACTCGCAGATCTCCTATCATGGGGATTATAGGAGCTTGCAATATGCTCTAAGTGATGAAAAGATTTAGGTAAGTCTTGCATGAATTTAATGGTCTTGTAGACTTGCTTATTTCATCATCGCAGCTAAATGTCCAAAGTCTTCTTGCTCCCCCAGCTACCTTATTAGGCTAGTCGCCATCAGCTCTAAAAATCCAAACTTAAGCTGTACTAGTGGGACTGATCTGAGCCAGGATTTGTGATCCACTCCATTTTCTCCCCCACGGCACTAGATTCGACACTTCTACCCGTACTCCGGACACTTCAATCATCAACTCCACTCCAGAGCTAGGGAAAGCTCCAAGCTGACAACTACTACAGCAGATGACTCGAGTTTGGGTTTTGGTCTTGAGACCATCACAGCTCGCGCGAGTCAGTCTTTGTCTGTAGCTCCTGGGGAAGTTGTTTTCATGCTGGCCCTGTAAAATGTGGCTCACAATGGTTTGTACCTCGAACACGACATGTCAGTTACGCCAAGCCGTTGTCGGAGACTTCCAGATCCCTTTGGCCATGCTAGGGCCAGCATCTAATGGGTGACTGTTCCGTGCATACCTATTTTCACTCTGTTAATGATGGCCCTACATGGCAAACAGAAACGATTACCAAACTGATTACCAAATGCAGCTCTAGAAACGATATTTGCTAGTGCGACCATAATACAAAAACTGCTATGTCTAGGTAGGTATTCGGGTCTTTGTTAGTTGATAATCAGAACTTGCCATTCCCCGTCTCGGACAGTCCATGGCCATAACAAAAAACAAAAAACTAATAAGCATCACAAGCGCCAGCATCACCAAACTTGCCATCGGGAAATTAATGCAGCAGCATGGCAACGCCAACCAGGTCAAGGGTTGAATAGCATGGGTAGCCCTTCAGGTCAAGAGTGAAGGCTGTAGACAACTGCATCCCCAAACTGTCAAAACAACCGATCCAATGAGCAGTCCGCTGTGCCATGTCTTGACCTGATCGAGACTGAAGCTTGATGTCTGATTGTCCATGGTCACATGGTGTGGAGGTGACGTTTGTCAAGCAGAACGAATGATAATGGTGATGGCAAGCCGTAGCCATATTGCTAAACCAAGAAGCAAAAAGACTTCGAATGAAAATATACATAGAATAGAGAACCAAGTGTGCCAAAAGTAAGTACCTAGGTAGGTATGGCTTGGCTGCCCTCGCTGCTATCAACTATCTAGACTACTAACCTACCTACCTACCTAGTACCTAGGTAGATACCTTAACTGAATGGTGGATGTGAGGCCACTGATTTCAAATCTAGGTACCCACTAAGATAGGGTGGTTAGAGTGGGTACATGGCCCCTGACTCTGTATCAAATCTGAATCAATCAGACCTTGGGTCATCCAAACAGGGATCAACTTTACTTACGGTCCTATCAGCAAAGCAACTCTCATACCTCTCATGACTTACGCTTGCACTATAATCTTCATCCACCAAGTGACACGAATCACCCACCACAAGTCCCTTGCGACACAAACATCATCGGCAAAAAGATAGCAGAAGAGTCATAAACTTGACCAAATAGGCTTTTCAGGAGCTAGCAAGGGAACAAGAACAAGTTGTTCTGTTTCTGAGCTGGTAGGTTCCCTCAACCTTGGCCATGGCAAGACTCGCCACCTGATACTATCCCTTCTCATCGATTCGCTCCGTTGCATCCCCCATTTCAGATTGCTTGTTTTTTCTGTCTATCGAGCCAGTCATGGACAATCCGACGGATAGCGATAATAAGTCGCCCTTGTCTTTCAGTCGCACCAACATAGAGACATCGCAGGAACCGGACATGCTATCTCATCCTAAAGCTGCAGATATCATCGAAGCATGCGAATGGAGAGACATTGGCCGTCTCCGGTCGCTAGCTGAAGCTCATGGTGGATTCCTGTCGGATACGTTGCGAAGACAAGCATGTTCGTTGTTACCGTCCGTGTATACACCCTGTTTCATTGACTGACACCATCTCACAGGGCCCATCTTGCTAGGTCTTGATGCTCCCTCTGACGAAAAGGATGACCCTGATCTTGCATTGCCTCAAGAATCCAACGCATGGAAGCAATTACCCCGCCATAGAGATGAGGATCAGGTCCAGCTCGATGTCAATCGCTCGTTCATCTATTACCCAGCCAGTATTTCTCAATCCCTACTTGCCCCCAAGACATGGCGAGAGCTAATACAGTGCCAGACCAATCCGACGCAGAGCTGAGTCTCCGCAAGTCAGAACTCTCATCCCTCATCACCGAGGTCCTACGTCGTTACCCTTATCTGTGCTACTTCCAGGGCTACCACGACATCTCTCAGGTTCTACTGCTGGTGCTGGCACCAACATGGAGAGCTCGTGTTCTCGCGCGCCTATCCGTCCTGAGGATACGGGACTTTATGTTGCCCAGTTTTGGGCCAACAACCGCTCAACTCCGTCTTCTGCCGGACATTCTCCATGCTGCTGATCCCAAGCTCCGACGGCATCTTGCAGGTGTTGAGCCCTTCTATGCCTTAGCGGGAACCCTGACCATGTATGCCCACAACATCGAGACCTATCAAGACATCGCCAGATTGTTCGACGTCTTCCTAGCCCGGGAGCCTGTATTTACAGTCTACGTGTTTGCGCAGATCATTCTTGACCGTCGAAATGAGATCTTCGAGATAGACGAGCCTGATATGCTGCACGTCATTTTGGGCAAGGTCCCAACAAAAATGGATCTGGACGAGCTTATTATAAAATCAGCCGCCCTCTTTGAGCAGCATCCTCCTGAGACTCTTAGCTACTGGCGACACATCTCTAATTTTAGTGCTCTAAAGACAGCCCGGGATATCGAAACCTGTGCGAAACAGACCATGGAAGAGGGCTCAGAACTTTTCGAGAAGCAGGTCAAAGAACTTCATTGGCAAGAAATGTGGGATCACATCAAGTTGGTCCTCTGGCGTTACCGCCGCCCAGCCAAGACCGTTGGTATGGCTCTTGTTGTGGGAGCCCTGGCTTTCTACCTTCGCCGCAATCCAATACTCGTCCATCGCATTGCCTCATTCTTCTCTCCATAGACACCAAAGTCCCCACCCGCAAGATAATTGCTCAGATAGATTGCTCAAGGGCGGCATATTGGTTGTAAAAGTTGGCAGGTGGAATGATTTACCCCACGCTAGAATGGCATAGATAACACTTTGTTTGTTCAAGGCTCTGTTTAGCAACAAGACCCGTAGATGATTTCACCGAGACGCCATGCAAAAGAAATATACACATAGTTACACCCAAGGGAAGACATGAGAATGCACTATTCTCCCGTGAATTACCCCTCCTGTTTCCCAACAATTTTGTATCCAGATGAGCCACTTTTCTAGGACGTCTCTTGGTACTGAGTCTTCAGTTCTTCGAAATGCTCCTGCTGCTCATCAGCAAGCTTACCGTTCGCATCGCTGATAATGGTGAGGATAAGTGAGTAGTTGTTATACAAGAAGCGCCCGCTCTTACGCTTGTCGCCGAAGAGCTCAGCTTGACGAGTAAGAAAGGTCTCAACTTCGGAGCGCAAGCGGCGCAGGCTGGACACAACAGGTTCGTCATCACCAGCATCAGTGCTGAGGGCCAATAAGCCGTGCAACAGCTGCCCGAAACGCTGGGTCACAACATGAGGTGCCGCAGACAGTTTAGCGACTTCGGCGCGGCTCGGTTTGGCGGGCACAGCATTGCTGAGGTGGCGCACAGAATCGCAGTGACGATCCATTATGACCTGAAGACGGGGCCACAGGAGCATGGTCGTAGCATTGATGTAGCCATCCACAGCAGGGACCTTTCGGCGCTGGAGCTCAAAAGCAAAATGCTGGTTCAGCCGGATACAAAGAAGTAGCCCAAGCGCGTCGTATGTCTCCCCTATCAGAGTCTTGGAAAGGGTTCTGCCGAGCTCGAAGGTAGCCTCGAAGACATAGTCAAAGTTCTTTGAAATCTGGCTGTAGGACAATGCGGGAGAGAAAAAGGTGGCCATGAACGTGTATTCCGCCGTGGCATTGTCAATAAGTGCCAGGTTGAAGTTGCGGAAGGGTACTTCGAGGTAGTGAGTCGATTGGTCTTCTTCGGCGAGATATGAGGAGAGTGCCGCTTGATTGTTAGTTTTCAGAAGATCAATGCGCCGGCCAAGGTTAAATGCATCATGAGGAGGCCCTGGCGCCCTGTTGCTCGAAAGAACAGTAGCCTTGCGAGTTGCATCTTCATGGCCAAGAGCGTCGTTCTTGTCTAATATGTGAAGCCTGATTTTCCCGAGAGCCTTCTCATACCGGGAAAACTGATTAAGGTAGTACCACCGCATAGTGTTCATATATGCAAGGGCGATCTCATTTGCGAGAGTCGGATGATGTTTGTGCAGGAATGTGTAAAGATCCTTGTATCGAAGGAAACTTTGTTGCTGAATAATTTGGGCATTGATATGCGGTGAACGTAGTGCTTTGATCTGAGCCACGATGAAGTCTCGTATGCGCTCGATTGCCTGAAGAGTTAGTTGAAGTTCTGACAAGAGCATGGCAGAGTGCAGATACCTTGAAAGTGAGCTTGTCAAGAATCGGTTCGAGGTCCTTTGCCGCATTACTAGTTTGAGTTTCGGACTTCTTTTTAAATAGAGTCGACCTGCGATCCAGTTCGGCGAGCATCTTTGCCCACGTCTCATCGATGTGCCCCTCAGAGATCTTAGAGATAACTTCGGGTGGCAAGCTTAGCTCTTCTACCAGAGGCCCCAGTGCCTTCTCAACTTGTTTCCGGTTTTCCAATCTTCTATTCAAGGCTGTCGATCGGGTTTGCAAAGATTCGATGTCTGCGGATACCAGGGCAAGGTCGTTACGGAAGTTGGCAAGGCTGATTTCAACTGAATTGAGTACATCGTCACATGCTTCTATCGACCGGTGAAGATCTTCGAGTTTGGTTCTATCATTCTCGCCTATGATATGTTAATTATAGGGGTCAAAAGGGTATATGTTGCGATAAACGGACTCTCTTCTGCCGTTTTTGGCTTGCGGTTGCTGATTGTGATTGTATCAGGAGGTTCGGACGTGGCAAGCTCCTTTAATGACAATCCCCCAAATACGGCCTCGAAGTTGATATCGTCCTCATTAATGGCAGTTTTCTTGTCGGCTTGTTCGCGGTCACTCGAAAAGCCTGCTAGCAAAGTCTCTAGCACCTCCAAAGAATCAGATCCCGTGTCTATTGTTGAGGCCTGCCTCAAGTTGGAACCATTAGGCCTTCGCGAAGACGAAAGGAGTGAGATGGTGGAATCATTGGAGACGAGTGATAGCGAGGAGCCTCGTGGAGAAATCCCAGGACGCTGAGATGTGACATATGGGCTCAGAGTGCTCGAGGTTCTTTTAGGATATACTCTGCCACCGGGTTGAGGCGTAGAGGGTCCAGGACTGCTGGCCGGGCCTCCCGCCAGTCGGTCGAGCCACATACCGGGAGAAGTAGAACAGTAGCAGAATTCAGTATATGAAGGTTAATGCGCGGGTTCGATAGCCGTAGGCAATATCATGGTAATGGCTGTCGAAGTCAAATGCGTTGGTCGATAATGGGTATCAAGCTATTAGTGAAGCTGAGATGGGCGCAAAAGGGTCAACTTGGCCAGCTTGCAACGCGAGGCTGTTGACAGCCATGAAATTGAAGGTGTCGAGTGAAAGCTGATTGGACACTTCAATCCGGGGACACTTCAACTCCAGCCTTGTGTGGCTGTGCGGGGCTCTCTCTAATTTTGGCAACAACACACAGATCTTGGCCAGCTGATAGTCTGTCTACCTGTGGGTAAAATGCAAACCCACCCGACCACATCGAAACTACAACCGCCTCGAGCAGAAGCATAAGAAGGCACCAGAAGACTATAAAAACACAGCAGTCTGGTATTCGTCCTTATGGTTAGCAGCACGAACCAGGGCCTACTTATGTTCGGCCCCCAGGTCCCCCCTATTATTAAATCAAAAATCGTCCTCAGCAGGAGATGATCTGGCTCGTCTTAGGCTCAAAGCGCCAAAGAAGAGCAAACAGTGGAAGAAAGGGTAAAGTTGCAGCTTGCACGGCGATGCTTAGGTATGGCTCGAATACCTAGTACCTGCTACCTGCGCTATAGGGACTGAGGTAGCAATCGGCCTACCGATATAAAATGTGATGGCTTTAATTGTGCGACACTGCGATCCATGACCATCCATGCCTTGCTCCATGCTTGCAAGAGTTGCTTGCAGTTCACCAAAGCCATTTTGCTGAGACACACAGGTCCCGGGCACCAATGGCCACCTCGGGTTTGAGAGGGGAACCTGGAAGCAAGCCCCCAAATCAAAAGCATAGAATGGATTGCTCCCCGCGTGAGCAGTTGCATTTCAGCCATTGAGTCCTGATGTTAGCATCAATGACCCCCTGCAGGCTTTGACGCCTTGATGCAGTAATGGCTTGGGAATCTCCGTGTCAGGTTGCTTCTTGAAATGCCTAGAGTGCCCTCGTGACCTTCAGACCACCTCGCTTTCTTTGAGTTCTGTCCGTTGGCAGAGGTTGGAAGTTCAGTCTCAAATTCAATATTCGACCCAGAATAAAAACAAATTCTGACATGTGAATGGTCAGAGCAATTGGTTGTTTACTCTGTCTTGACCCCGCCACCTCGAGCTCTGCTGAGATGACCGATCGTCAAGGCGGTAACCTAAAGCTGCCATCAATTAACACTTCCTGGTGGCTTCCCGCTCCACCCCGCTCAGTTTTCTTTGCAGCGGAACAGATGCCCTCGAGGCCCTGTAAGCAATAACCCCTCCACTGGTACGGGAACACAGTTCTGGGAGAGGAGGGGTCGAGTAGCTCACGGGCGAGGGGCAATGTCGAGGGTCCATCTCGATGGACTGGGCTCCCCTCTCGGCCACTGGAAAGAAGGACAAAGGTTGGATGCCTTGAGTGCTTACAGGTTTTACGAGAGCTAAGACTGCCTGTGCTCTTCTTAATTTCTACCTGTGCTAGCTGGGCAAAGCTGGGCTACCATATCCACCGGCAGCGTCCGTCCATCCACAGGACCTAAGTAAAACTACAGCCTGGAAAATAGTGTCCACTGCTACGCCCATTTACACCAATCAAAGACTTTAAAAAAAAAACTTGTCGAGGGCCTCGCACCTTTTTCTTTGCCCCCCATCTCTTTTTTCCGAGTTTGGCCCTCTCCTCCTTCTTCTCTTCTCCATCCCACTATTAAGCACCACTCTCGGCTTTTTTTCTTCTCTCCTCCTCAACCTCACTCCTTTCTCTTCAAAGAACTCGACTTCTTGTCAATACCGTCAAAATGGCCGCCCCTAACGATGCTGAGGTGAGTCTGCTTGCTCCTGCTGCTGCCTCTGTCGAATCCCAGGCGCACGCGCCCACGAAATCTTCCCTTGCGCCCATTTTTCGCCTGGAGATTGACACCCCGCATTGTGACCTATGCCCCACGATACAATACTGCCATTTGAATTATTGAATCGAGCTTCACAAACCATGAAAATAGCCATCACCGTCGTATTATGTTCATATCTATCAAGAGTTTTGCTAATCGCCCCTTTTCACCCTGGCACAGCATGAGATGACCTTCGATTCGGCCGATGCCGGTGCCTCTCTTACCTACCCTATGCAGTGCTCTGCTCTGCGTAAGAACGGTTTCGTCGTGATCAAGAACCGCCCTTGCAAGATCGTCGACATGTCCACCTCCAAGACCGGAAAGCACGGTCACGCCAAGGTCCATCTCGTTGCTACCGACATCTTCACTGGCAAGAAGTACGAGGATCTTTCTCCCTCTACTCACAACATGGACGTCCCCAACGTCTCTCGTCGCGAGTACCAACTGGTGTGTAAACCCTTGCCCCGCTCCAAAGAGGAACAACCCCTCCCCTCAGAAGAGCAGACCCCCGGTCATTTCCGCCACCAGCTCAACTAACATGTATTCAAGCTCGACATCTCCGACGACGGTTTCCTCTCTCTCATGACCGATGACGGTGACACCAAGGACGATGTCCCCCTTCCCGACAACGAGGTTGGCCAGAAGATCACCAAGCTCTTCAAGGAGGAGGAGAAGGACACCAGTAAGTTGCTTTTGTGGTCTTTAATCGACAAATTGCCTAACCATGCCTCTCAGACGTTATCGTTCTCACTTCCATGGGCGAGGAGTGCGCCATGGAAGCCAAGGAGGCCCCCAACCAGGGTTAAATCGCCTAACCTTTGATCCGCACCCTCTTTTAAATGGCACTTAGACTCTGAGCTCCGCATTGAAAGATGATCTGGGCTGGAGATTTTTGCTTTGATGAATGTTTGGCGCATCAATACTCATGGGCCATGGATTGGGCATTGCGCAGAAGGACTCTATCTGGACAGGATTGCCTGCCGGTTATGATATACGGCAATTCTGAGCACCCGAGGCTCAGGCTCAAAAAATGTTTTCCTTTGTTCCTAGCTCACACGCTGCACATGCCATCATGTCACGATACGTAGCGGCAATTTTATGAAGAAAAAAAATGGGAGAGCTTTGGAGTTGATCATGACTTGTTGATGTTGAGTGACGTGAATTCTGTAAAGTCGTTGGGCACCGCGGTAACATTTGCTTAATACGGGTGCGTTGCATAGTACGTAGGTACCTAGGACGAGACAGTAAGGTGTTGTATGGACGAACATGTGTTTGAGTCTATAGTACAAACCTGTATGTATTAATACACAATCCAAAAACCACAACCCTGTGAAATGCAGGATAAGGTAATTAAATCGAAATGATTATACAGCTATGATTGTGTACACAATGCTTATGATTTTGCTCGCTACAAAGTGAACAACAGGATCCTACATATACATATGGGCAAGTACCTACCTACACATATATTTTTTTTTAGCTCTAACCACGTTTTTGACCATCGCAAAGCCATAACGACGGAGCTTGCAAGCCAGAAGCAAAGACAACGACAAAAGCAAATACGAAATGCCATAATCAGTGCAAATTATGGATGAGAGGCGAGATCTTCGCAAGTTTCCCCGCGGGGAGAGATGTCCAGAATGTGGTGCTCGAAGGTGGTATTTGGAGAATGGTCTGCGCTTCTGCTCCAACGGACATCAGGTTGAGGTGTGTCTTCCATTACACTCTCGAAGACTCTGGGCTGAAAATAATATTAGGGATTCATTCAATTCGACATTGGTGATGATGTCGATGCTGGTCAGCTTGGTAAAAAGACAAAAAAGGACAAGGAGGTCAAGGAAAAAGAGCTGCGCCATCTTACAGGGCAAGCAGGCAAGAATCTGTTTCTGGAATGTCTACAGCTAGTGCTAAGGCAGCAGCTCCTTTGGCTCGTTCAGAGCAAAGGCCATCGAGAAGAGCTTGAGACTGTCGTGCGCGATCTGTGGGATCTTCGCATTCGAGGCTCTGGAGCATTCCTGGCTGAGGAGGAAACACAACAAACGGGTGATGGCCTTGCGATATTCAGTTCGCAGCCTACAGACACAGAAAAAGATGACGTTCCTAAGAAGCAGAGTGCAAGAGCTCGTAGCTGGAATCCAGAGGACAACCCAGGTTGGCCTGTGCCGAGAATGATTGAAACCTTGGCCTTGTGCTACCTCGGATGCTTGTTGCTCAGGATACCTACCACGATTGGGGAGCTTTGCGCCTGGGCCAATTCTAGACGAATGCCTTATAAACGATCAGTAAGTCAACCTTGAAGAGTGTATCACCTCAGCTAACAAATATCAGTACTACGATCTTCCCGAAGAAATGCAAGATCGACTGCCATCTGCTTATACCAGGGCCCTCAAATTACCCCTGCGCTCTTCTCTCAGAGGCATCGACATGCACAATGCTGTGCTAGATCTCGCTCTCTCATATCATCACAACTATGGAATGATATTCCCAGCCATTAATGATACACCAACCATTGTACACTTTGTCAGGCAGCTCACTTTACCAGGCGAGTGCTCTCAAGACGCTGACCCCTCCTGTATTGACTGTTCTAGTGGAAACGCTCATCACAGCAAGAAGCATACTATCGGTGATGAAGTTCTCTTTTCAATTACCCATTGAGCAGTCACGGCGATTTCATATAGACTATCCCGAGATCTTGCTCATGTCGGCTATTGTGGTTGCAGCAAAGCTGTGCTTTCCGTTGGGACAACACGCCCCTTTTCTTCGCGCCGCTGGCACAGAGCAGAGTATCAGATTTGATTGGAGAACGTGGTTCAAAGGCGCCCAAGAATTAATAGAAGCATCTCAAACACCTGGGAAGGAGCCCATCTTCAATCAGGTTACCGCTGACCAAGTTACTTCAATGGCCACAGAGGAGCTTGACCAGTACTTTGCTCATATTGCGAGCACGATCGACAGGAAGAGTGAGTTCATCCCAGGGCATCAAAACAATACTAATGGATGGAAGATGATTCGGAAATCACCAGGTTCTTTATATCAGAGAAGGCACCTCCTCCAGAGGCTCCTCCAAGAGAAAACACTGAACAAGATAATGACGACAAGATGCGGAAGATCCTTGGTCAAGCAATTACAGTAAGAGGAGAAGAGGGATCAGAACAAGACGGGAAAACTCTAGCAGAACCAAGCTATGAAGCGTTCCGTTCGGTCAAAGACCTTACAGAGACAGCGCAGGCATTGTATAAAGCTGCTGGTAAGTTATCAGGCCTTTTTCATATAGTCTCTCGAGCTGATCGGTGGTCAAGGTCACATATCAGGCCTGTCGCTTGATGAAATAGTGCAAGCAGTTTACATGTTGGAGCAGAAGATGATCTCATGGCAATTGAAGAGACGCCAAGAAGAGCAAGGAGAGGAAGAGCAAGAAGAGGAAGTTGTTTGATCATATCAATAACATGGCCGATAATAAATGATACCATGGATACCTTATTAGGTATGACTTACATCTAATACATCAGGTACCTCAAGCTTCCACGTGAACCAGGACATCATGGGTGAGGTGTTGGATCCCCACTCCCCCCTCGCCTCACAGAAGCGGTTCTGGTGGGCAGGAGCCAGCACGTGATCATCTTCAACCTTAGGGCTTTCCTTCCTTTTTGAACTTGTTCGCCCCACCAATTGCGCGCAGAAGAAGACCGGCTTTCCAATCCTCACATCGTCACGTCACAAAAATCAGTAAAGAGTGAGTATACCCCTAACTATAGCCTCAAATAACCTCGATAGGCGTAAATACTGACTCTCAATGTAGTGCAGATGTAAGCTCGAGCCCACCGATTGCGAAAAATCTACCAAAATCGCTTCCGTTGTGTACTAACAGAACCGTCCAGTTTCGTGAAGACCCTGACGGGCAAGACCATCACCCTCGAGGTCGAGTCCTCGGACACCATCGACAATGTCAAGTCCAAGATCCAGGACAAGGAGGGCATTCCCCCGGACCAACAGCGACTGATCTTCGCTGGTAAGCAACTCGAGGATGGCCGAACTCTCTCCGACTACAACATCCAGAAGGTGCGTGCTGGGATCCGAAATGCCGTTGCATTCGCAGGAAGATGATTGGGAAATGATGGGAACATCCACTTACGCCTTGTACAGGAGTCTACCCTTCACCTCGTCCTCCGTCTCCGTGGTGGTATCATTGAGCCCTCGCTCAAGGCCCTTGCCTCCAAGTTCAACTGCGACAAGATGATCTGCCGCAAGTGCTACGTATGTCGAACCTGCCGCCCGCAACGCACCGGATTCTAACCAGCATCAACAGGCTCGTCTCCCTCCCCGTGCCACCAACTGCCGCAAGCGCAAGTGTGGACACACCAACCAGCTCCGACCCAAGAAGAAGCTCAAATAAACAATTACTCCATGGATGTGGCGTCTGGGATTTGGCATTTGGGGGTCGATGGCAAGGACAGAGGAGAGCTTCTTTTCTTTTGTTCAAACGAGGCTGGTTGTTTTTACATTAGCATGTGCAGCTCAGGCAATACATTCTAGATGATGCCCATATTGATGATGTGCCGTGCCGCGAGGTGTTCCGGCCAGACCCCTTCAAAAGAAATAAAAGCATTCACGCTTCGAGATGGTTACGCGCATGGAAATGAGTGACTGTGCTATGAGGTTAACAATACAACTTGTAGCCGACAAAGCTACCGACAACTGATTCTCAAACTACGGCGTATTCCTCTATTAATTCTGTCATGTTGAATGCAACGCTTCTCCAATTCACTAAATCTCCCTTGCGATAGCTTACAGGGTTGTTTCGTATCCACTGATAATCCCTACCCTAAGCTCGATACATAAGACTGAAGTCGACAATCATGAAGCGCCGGTTAATCGTCGGTTCTGAGCTTGGCACGGTGCGCGTCCTCCTGAATTACGACAACTGCCAAACTGTCCCAATTAGAAGCCGACAGCGACCAGTGGGAGCACCTCAACCTTACTCTCCCTTGTGACTTTGTCACTGCTGTCCATTTTCACCAAACACATTCATCAACTGCAAACGAGCCGTTCTTTTTATCCTTTCAAAGCTATATATTTAGATAAGATACCTACCCAACTTCATAATGTCTGGTTCCGGTTACGACGCCGTCGTCGATGTTGACGATGAGGTATGCCCTGTCCCCTCTAGCTAGCTACCCTTTCAAGCGCAATGCTGCAATCCCCAACATATTTACACAATGTCTCTTTGACTAAACTAATGCGATGCTCAGGGCGACCTCGGACATACCGATCTTCAAGAAGACCTCGAGTTCCATACGTCCAACTTCAACGATACAAACCCCAACACCCGCAAACCTCCCTCCAGCGGCAGCGGTCTTCCTCCACCAGCGACGGCCTCGACCGGCTCCGGCTCATCCAAGCGCTTCCTCTGGAGCATGAACTTTTATGCGCAATTCTTCGATGTCGACACTTCAGCTGTTCTGTCCCGTTGCTGGGCTGCTCTGTTTCCCAGGGCCAACTTCCTCGACGTTCTAGAGGGCAACCCTGATCTTTACGGACCTTTCTGGATCGCCACGACGGTCATTTTGATCCTTTTCCTGGGCGGCACCATTAGCCAGTATATGTCGGATACGGGCAAGGGGCCATTCCTCTATGACTTCAAGCTGCTAAGTGGTATGTCTCATGTGATATTGGCTGGGAGTCACGCACTAAAATGACAAACAGGCGCTGCTGGTCTCATCTATGGCTACACTCTCTTCATTCCTATGGCTCTCTTCCTCGCCCTCCGTTACTTCGGCAGTGAATCTGCCAATCTCCTCGAGTGCTGGGCTCTGTACGGCTACTCCAACCTGATCTGGGTCCCCGTTGCCCTCATTAGCTCATCACCTATCTCCATACTCAACTGGGTCTTTGTCGGTATTGGTTTCGGAATCTCGGTTGCGTTTTTGTTGCGAAACCTTTACCCTGTGCTCAGCGCCACAGATCGCCAGGTCAGCAAGGTGCTGCTGGTCGTTGTGGTGCTGCTACACGCTGGTCTGGCCCTTGCGATCAAGATCCTTTTCTTTGCTCACGGTAGCCCCGTGGCTAGCAAGCCGGACGAGGGTAAAGGTAGCAGCATGTTTTAAGGGGTGGTAGCAAATCGATTAGAACCATGAGATGGGAGTCAGGAATTGAATGACACGTGTAAAGAGAATATGTATTCCTAGGCCACAATTACAGTTAAGGTATAGTCAAAAGGAGTCCCTGAGGAAGCAGATCTTTGGTAATTGTTTGTACAATAAGTTAGAAGGCGCTTTTATTTGACCAACCATTCTGCCAACGAATGTCTGCATTTATCGAGCTCTGTCTGTTCAATATCGTTTCTTAACCTTCTCAACTGGTCCTTGCTGGGCTTCCCAGTCCAGCCAGCTGCCTGCATAATCGCCGATCTTGTCCCAGCCAGCATAATGAGCCAGTTGCGCTGCCGCCCTCGCACGCACTCCTGCTTTGCAATAAAACACAAGCTCCTTGTTCTTTGCCGGTCTCTGGAAGCCGTACATGTCCTCAAAATCCTCGTCAGAGATGTGGAAGCTCTGGGCTGCCGATGTGATAGGAATATTGATCGCACCGGGGATCTTGCCCGTCTCGAAAAGCTCGACTGGTTCTCGGACGTCTGTTGCGCTTGTTAACTCGAATTCCCAACATGCCTAGAGGTGAACGTACCGATGAGGACTACATTGCCCGGATCAGATTTCTCAATATGGTTCTTTATATCTCCAAAGCTCCATGGCTTGGGGTCCGGTGGGGCATGATCATCTATCGGGTTTGCTTTGATTTGGGCTTTAGTTTGGGCTTTGGTTGTGTAGCTTCCAGTAGACTGAAAGGGCGCAAAAGCTCGGGATGGTAGCGAGGGGCTTGGCGAGCGAGCTGCAATTATAAAGATTGGTCGAGCATGTTGGATAGCAGCGGATGCGCGCGAGGCTGATGAGAAGAGAGCGCGACGGGCCGCCATTTTGTATTAGTGTAGAGAGGTACTCCCTAGATAATATCGAGGTGGGAAATGTGAATTGAGGTTCAAGATGGCGAATCGTGGAGTATACCGAGCTAAGGCCACTGACTAAGAGGCTGGGACCAGGGTGATGCCCAGACACGATAAAATGAATGCCATGATGTTATCGTAGTAATGAATGAATAGACGTTTCGTAATTACCGGTAATAAAATCAATCGAAAATCAACAAGACGCGGCCTCCATATTCAAGCCTCCAACTTGATGGCCATCGTGAATCCCTCATGCTGACCTAAGTTGGAGCCGACATCAAGTCACTTCACTCAACTCGGTCATCTGATATGTTTTTGCAATCTTTTGCTATTCGCTGTCCAAATGCCAGTTCCAATCATGGCAATCATCTCTATGACCTTGCGGTCCCAAATGCCCTCGGGCAGCCAACTATATACACCGAGAATAGGTATTAAAACTGTTAACCATCATGATTGTCCTTTCCGTCCACATTGAGCTGTTTTCCCGGCTCTTCAAGCTTCATCTCCAGAGAATTTTCCTGTAGCTAATCATATGCCAACAGTTGATCTCTTATTTTATCTTCATTGGAAGCTTAAGCCATTCACAGCCATCTTCCTCGATCATTCCTTCGGCCTCCCTCATCAGATACACTTGGGCTGCAACCGCACTGCCCTGTGCATCAGGGATGCCGGAATCGTGTCCAACGGTTCGTATTGAATCTAGTGTCGACCAAGTTCCTCCGTACCGTTTACCACTTTCTCTCCTCGAAGGTGAGGGGGCAGTCGTCCTATTTCAAAGTCAGTCGTTATTGCACTGTATTGCCCTGTAGCGAGTACATACCATGGGGAAAATGGTGGCAAAGACCTTGATCTCCTCAGACTTAGGGGTTGCGTGGTGCTTCCAGTCAAGCATGACTGAAGCCTTTCCTATCATGAGAGCCAGGTTCAGCTGAGCGTACACCTGTCCAAGGCAGTAGTGAGGCCCGGTACCAAAAACTAAGTAGTTCTTGGAACCCTTCTCCTCAGCATCACCGCTGTAGTATCGTTCGGGGTCGAAGTGGCTGGGGTTGTCATAGACCTCGGGATCGTGGAGAGCCATGAAAGTGGTGGGGATCAACATTGAGCCTATTGAGAATTCGAATCAGTATCACGGCGATCAAAAATGTGATCGGAAGCTTCTCAACTTACCCTTGGGAACGGTGTAGTTCTCAGTCAGAGGGAAGGCCTTCTTGGTGACGTAGGGAACCATGATGACAGGAGGGCGCCATCGAAGAAGCTCTCGGACAACAGCGCGAGTGTAAGTAAGAGATTCGAGCTGATCCATGGTGATAGGCGCGTTAGGGTCACCGTTACGGACCTTGATGTTTTCCTCCCGGACACGGTCGAGGACATCGGGTCGTTGGGCGGTAACCTGGAAGAGCCAAGTAGCGGCGCTGCTGGTGGCATCCTGAGAAGCGAAGAGGAAGGTGAAGATAGTCTGAGAGATTTCGTAATCGTTGAACATGCGTAGAAGAGGAGTGGGCTTCTCGACGGTGTGTCCCTCGCCCTTCTCCTCGGCCTCACGCCAGCGCTCAGACTGGATCATTGACAGAACCCAGGCGTCCATGATGCAGGTGACTTCACCACCAGCGGCCATGCGAACCTTGCTCTTGGCGGCACACTTGGAGAACTCGGCCAGAACCATATCAGCAGCCTTCTTGCCATACCAAGACTTTGTATAAGGAAGGATAACGGGGAGGTTGACAAGCTCGAGTGCAGCAGTGATGAGATAGTAATCCTCGGCGATCTTGGTGACAGCCTCGTCGGAGATGTAATGGCCAACAAAGGTACGACAAGACACAGCGCACATAACCTCACGGAACTCGTGCATGAAAGGGACAGGCTTGCCGCCGGCATCCTTAGTCATCTTGAGGAAATGCTTGAAGTAAGTGTTATAAGCCTCCTCCTGGCCAGGCAGATAGCTCTCCAGGGCCTTGCGGGTGAAGAGACCGTTAAGACCCTTGCGGAAATCAACGTGGGCCTTTCCGTCGAGGAACACCCAGTTATCGTGCCCCAGAAGCTTGGGAGCAACGTCGACAACAGTGGGCTTGACATAGGCGGGTGAGTTAAAGACCTTGCGAGCCATGTCACGAGTGGAAGCAATAACGACGAACCTAGCAATTCAATGTCAATATAGCCGTTCGGTCATGTTGAATCGCTCGTTCAGTACTTACTTATGGAAGATAGAAACACAGCTCAGGGGACCGCTGCTCCACTTGGCATGATAACCGTCAAATCGAGGATCCATGGAGTCAAGAAATGGGCCGATGAAGGGAAGCTTCATGGCTGGGCCCTCAATAGGACCTTTCCGAATGATATAGGCAACTATTTAGGAGTTCTGGTTAGCAATGCGCCTTGGGTTACCTAGTAACGGAACCATAACATACTCTGATCATACGCAACGCAAAGAGCGATGAAAGTGAATACCCAAGTCCAAACGCCGGCGTTAGACACGGCTTCGATAACATATTCGACCTGAGGAGGAAGAGCCACATTGGCGTATTTGGTGCCGGCCAGAACAGACGAGAAGCCGCTGGAGGTAGCGTTGACGGCCTCCATTTTGTTGAGGGCGGTGATATGCGACGCTAAGGAATCAAATCAATCCAATCATTCAAATGAACCGCGCCGCAAGTCGAGTTGGAGCTCGCAACCAAGCGAGATTTTTATGTGGTTGTTGAGTTTCTCACAACCAGTGGTACTCCTTGGGACTGAGAAGTTGTATGCGGATGAAGGAGAGGAAAGGGATAGAGACGGGAGGTAGGGGAGAGAAGAGGAGGAAGTAAAGTAGGAGAAGTGGAGGTTGTGTTTCTTTCCAGATGCAGGAGGTACCTTCCCAAGGTTAGTAATTGTCCAGTCTTCCCGTCTGCGCCGTTGGCTGTCGAAGGTGCAGGCGCCTCCCGTCAACAGAGTCCGTTCAGTCAGTCAATGAAATCAGTGCTTGGCTTGTCATTTACAGGGAACGGGCAGAGAGAGAAAAAATAAAAAGAGGGCCCTGGGGTCTCAAGGTCAAGGTACGAGCACTACAAGGGCAAGGGACAGGGTGTGAACGATTAACGGGAGCGAATTCGCCAAGGGCGGAGATTTAAAGAGATGAATGTGATGAAAGATACACTGCTGGACCATCTCTGCATTGAACAAGCCAATGGCTAGCAGGAATGTTGTTAATTGCTTTCTGATTACCATAAACTGCTTTTTGTTCCTATTGCAAGCTTTGTTGTGGCCTTGTGTCCCAAATAGATGTTGTTGGCCAGGGCGTGAGGAGAGACAGATTAGATGCGAGGTGGAGTTGCAGCGTGGTTGACTTGTTGGTGGGGGGTCCGCTGAGTGCCACACTTCTATAGATACGCCCTCCCAATTAACACATGGAACCTTCCTCAGAAGACTTCAATAACGATTGCCAGGAGGATAAGTCTGTGTGTACGCTCAATAAAGACGTATAGACTGATAATTCATTTAATAGGCCTTTCCAGATCTGCATATCGAGATAAAGGGGTGCAAAAGGAAGATTGCATGTTTCCATGACAATTTCCTATCCTTTTTTTTTCACTGGGTCTTCATATCAAATTCCCTTTTAACTGGTGCTAATTTCGATGCTCCCACTCGACATCTTCACCGAAAAGCTTCCTACTTTAGTTTAGTCTCCGAACTTCGAAGCCCCGACGATCCCGTAAAGGGTCTAATGTGGGCCTGTCGCATTTGCTTCTGGAACTGGAACTGGAAAGCAGACCACTTTCTTTGCATTTCGTAGTATTCGTGTAGGTATCATCATTCACCCGGAGTGACAACTTGACATGATTTCTTACTGCATAGGTACAACCTTTAGTGTCTCCGTCTATCTGTACCAGCGCCATGCTGCTTGGTCTTGCAATAGACATAGACTCGTGACCTCTGGTTCACCACTTACACCAACCATAATAACACTAGGCCAACTACCACAATGTCTTGCTTGTTCGCTTGTCTTTTAAGCTCCACCAGCCTTGATCGTAATCGTATGTACGCAATAGACAGCCCTAGCATTAATAACGTTTACCGCCTTCGCCTTGTTCCGCGTCTTCCGTCGTAGATCTAAGCGGGCCCTAGCCTGATATTCGGGATAGCACTGCGGATATTCATCGTATGTTTCCTCTTCAGCCTCATTGTATACTTATTACATCGTTGAACTTTGGGCCATAGAGCTGCTTGTTCGTTTGGCACAGCTATTGGCGAGTTTGTCGGGGAAATCCGATTTGCAATGGCCATCATGCGACTCGTCGTGTATGTTAGACGTGAGTCTGCTACTACCTTCGACAGGGGCATCAAGTAAATCATACCTCGAAACTTTTGTCTGAGTTTCCGTCTGCTCAGAAGTTCGCGTGTATCTCGTAGTTGGTGGCGGTCGTAGCTGCTCTCCATTGCTATGGGTTTGAGGCTGAACACTGCGACTTCTGTTCTCCCGAACTCCCACGTTATTATCAGCATATCCCAGGGCCTCTTGGTACGTCCGGGGAATATCTTAACGTCAATCGCGCTTGAACCTTACCCAGTAAGTCTATCTACCATGCGGGTAGGGTACAAAGCCAATGCCTGTCAATTCGCATGGAAATCGTAAATTGGTTATTGGATACATAACCACCATCACATACATATCAGTATGCTATGGATTAAGTAACAGCTGTGATGACCGTTAACAAGAAGCAACATACTGTCAGATTTATACAGCCCTGGGGTCTACTCGCACTCCCCACCCACTCTGATACATCATAACCAACCCTATTGGCTCAGCTAATTCACAAGCCCAGGGACAGAACCAATCAATGATCGCTAACAAAATCTCATCTCCAGGGTCCACCCTTAGCTCGATCGTCAGAGTTCCACACCGACGAACGGTTCGCTATTGATACAGAGTACGACGTATTCGTTTACCTGGAAATAATCGGGGTTTACGCTCGTGTCTTGTCACGCTGTTCCTTCGCAGATTGACGAACACATGGTTTGAAAGCTCACGATGGCATTCTATCGCCTTAAGTACTAACAGCAAACGAGAGTTGTTCTCAAAGAATGGCATATGGAACTTATCTGAGTGATTTAGTCAGGATTCTGCTTGTAGGAGGTGCGTCAGCAAGACACATTTCCAGTGTGAAATTCGTTTTCAATTACGAATAAGGCCACCATTAATATGTAGGTGGTCGGATCCTGTCAACCACTTAGATTCTGACCATAAGTAAAGCTCTACAGTGTCGTTTATGCATACGGAGTATGGCGTCCTTGCATAACGCCAGGCCCATTTCATTTCACCTCAAATCACAACACCCGAATACGAATGCGACCCCGGCCGCTGTGAAGTCACTGTATGGGACTGTAACTCTCCAGCACGGCAACAGTCTACTCCCCTCCCCAGCCCAGCGTCAACAGAGTTAATTTGCCCATAAACAAATGTTTTCCTTAGGCTCCTGAGCAAGTCATACATACCTAGTGCTTAGTAATGTATATTGCCCACGTGACTACCCTTCCATCGTGGCAACTCAAGAAGCGAAGAATCTCGCTAGACCTGCAGATAGATAAGCTTATCACGGGCTTATTTTGGTTAAGTGTTGCCTTCCTTATCCATCATCGACGTCACTTAGGTTGCTTGAGAAGAGTTTCTGACAAACGGGTTTCCGCTAGAGGTGGGGGATCGTCAGGATCATGAGGGGCATTCCATACCGCCTACCCTATACTCCGACTTCGTTTTTATGATGTCTTATTATTCCTGCTTTCAACAAACATTCATGCAGTTTAGATCCAAGCTTTCAGGGTTTTTAGTCTTCGAGCTTATAGTAACGTTTTTTTGTTTGCTTGTTTGCTTGTTTCCAGACCCCTAGGTTTGGACTAGGTCTGTTGGAAACTGAACGTTGTCCCTCTCTTATCAAGTATCATCAAGAGTAAGCACATCCCTTAACGAATACAGCCCTATACCAGTGGACCCCAGCGCAGGTATTTATGCTATGGTGTAGTTTGGCGGGAGCTCACGATCGGTCTCAATACCGTATTCTGCGATCCTTGGCTCTATGACGCTTTTTGGAGAGGATTAAAAGGACCCCTATTGATGTCCGTGTAAATATTTAAGTTACCTACCTATTCATGGATGCAATGCACAACATTCTCGTCAGTGCCACGTTTCACGCCTCCACTGTTCGGCCACCTAACACTCTACAAAGGTTACCCGAGATTATTGTCAAAAGAAACAGTTCTGTAATCTCAAATAAAATCATCTGCAGTGCTTTATCTTCCCCAAACACGTCATAGCAGTCAGATATTTGCCGGCGTCACACAAGCCCCCTTGGATTAGGTTGCGTCATACCTGTGATGAGTGAGATCTGTATTTAGGTACCCTATAACAGTCGAGAACCGCCATACAGCAGTCTCTCCACCACGAGAGATACCGGAATGGGCAGCTGGAAAGGAGGGTGATTCATTGGTATCTAATAAGCTGCAAGCTGCGAGAGTGGATTCCGTCGCACTTACACCACGTAGTCCCGCGTGTGCCTGCTTTCGAAACGCTGTAAAGCAGGGCACTCTGCGTTGTAAAGGATGGGTCGTGGTCACGCTCCAGCCCGACTAATAGCGAGTATAAGTGGCAGCATCCGCAGCCATGTGAACTTAGAAGCTTCATACACAACCTTCCTCAAGAGACAACACCTCCATCACTCAACCCAGCTCACCATGCCTTCCTACATCGTATGCATCACCTTCACCTTACCCTATTTCGTCATCAACTGACAATCTCTCATAGGTTACCTGCAAGGACGACGCGTCCGACGATCAGGTCAAGTCGTACGTGCCAGCTCGAAAAAACATTCATTCATGTGAAATTAACAGTTGATAGTGCCAAGCAGCACGCCATTGACCAGGGCGGCAAGATCACACACGAGTACAGTCTCATCAAAGGCTTCGCGTAAGTGAACCTCGTGTACACAGAGAATTCTAGGGTGATAGCTGACAAAGATCATAGTGTTGAGTACGATGACGACAAGATCCAAACGCTTGAGAACCACGAGCACATCAAGGCAGTCGAGCCCGATGGTGAGATGAAGACCCAGTGATTGAATGGGATACAGGTGATGCGTTCGGAGAGGCCATCGATGTCCATAAATAGATTATCACAAGCTCTACTGCATCGGCGTCAGGGAATATAATCATTAAACTGTCTTCTATCGAAAATTTATGCATCAGCCGTGGTTTCTTGAGACATACCAAGTCTAGCATTTGAATACAGAGCCATCTTTTAGTAGTAAGATGCCCATCATCATGGCAACATTGGATCCAAGGTCTGAGAATCTACGGATTGATGCTTAGCGGGGGACCGACTCGGTGACGTATGCCCGTCACCCCGCAATTGTGAGCCGTGTGATAAGCGATAAGCCGGCCGCAAGCGCTTCAAATGACAGCTCTCAGCTCCACCCGGACCGTTGAAGAGTCATCCGCCTCGGAGACACTTACCGGTCTGTCCAGCTTCTACAGATCAGCTCCATACTTTCTCATATCAACGACATTATCTCCAAGAGGAGTGGGAAAACAAGACTTTTACTAGGCACGCCATAATGCTGCGATGATTGCTTCCTTAACCAGGTCAATAAGGCGGCAAGGGCCTGCCCCCTCTGCTATTCTTCGATTATGGTCCTGTTACACCTCACATCGATGCTTGTCTCAATGGAGGGGCCCTAGACAATCGCATTGGGGCCATGAAAACACACGGAACCGGCTGGTGACGAGACGGGGCTTGCACTCCCCAAAGGTGTCGGATGATGAGATCGCGACCCTGGCTCAACAGCATCAACATCCTCTGTGTCTCGCAGACCTCGTGAGGTTTGTCCAGCTCCCCTTTTAGCTATTGACAATACCTGACAATTTATAGACACGGTCGGCCTCCTTTATCCTCCAAGTCCCTCCTCTCGTCCGCCAATTTTGCACTATCTCTTCTCCCCGTGCGCCTCGCCCATCGTATCCAAGCGCTTCGCAACCTTCCTTACATCGTCGTCGCGAACCCGAATATCTCACGTATATACAACAACTATCTCCATTCTTTATCAATACTCCTCCCATACTGGCACGCGACTCGTGAAGGACGACCAATATCGACTCTCGAAGACGAGATACGCTTCACAAATGTACTGGCCGAGCTCGTTGCGACACACACCGATACAATTCCCATTCTTGCAAAGGGCTTCCTCGAATGTCGACGATATATATCTCCCGAAGAGGTTACAAAATTCCTCGACCAGCACCTCCGCGCTCGAATTGGTACGCGCCTCATTGCGGAGCAGCATATTGCATTACATTTCAGTTCTCAGCCGCACTTTGACCCCAATGCTAGTCCAACACCGTGCCCTGATGATCCCTCGTACATTGGAGTCATCGACACATCTCTTCGCCCCGCACAAATAGTAGAATCATGTGCTGGCTTCGTCGCTGATATCTGTGAGCTTCGATATGGCGTTCGGCCTCTTCTCTATATTCATGGCGAGCCAGACACCACATTCGCATTTGTCCCTATGCACCTCGAGTACATAGTTACTGAACTGCTTAAAAATGCTTTCCGTGCTACAATTGAGAACAAATCTAACGAACCTGTAATCGTCACGATCGCACCAGAGCCTGCCTTGACCGAAGAACCCTCTACAGCATCTTGGTCAAATTCATCGATCAAACACAGTGATTCGCCCTCAAAGGACAGCCGGGACGCCACCGATAACGATGCGATAGTCCCTCTAGATGATAATGCTCCAGGAGTGACAATTCGTATTCGCGATCGTGGTGGCGGGATTCCACCAGAGGTCAGCCCGAATATATGGTCGTACTCATTCACCACCTTCTCCGACGACATGGATGACTTTCCAGGAGATGGCAATGGTGGCGACGGTCTCAGTGCGATATCAACTGCCAGCACTGGCGGTAGTTCCATTGCCGGACTGGGATACGGACTACCTCTGAGCAGGGCATACGCCGAGTACTTTGGAGGTGGCATTGCGGTTCAGAGTCTATATGGCTGGGGAACGGATGTATACCTACGATTAAAGGGCGTTGGAAATCTGGGTAAGAAGTAGTCGAGGCACATAGCTTTTGGTACCGTACCTAAGTCACAAACGAAGCCATGGTTGAGTAATGAGATGAAGCGGGCAGATAAAGAACATGATTACAACACAAGGACGACACCAGAACGACCGACAGGATCGGACCAGTGAGACATGTAGCATCAAGGAATTTTGGGCTGATAGGAGAACATTCACCAGGCAGAGTCAAGCTAGATACTGACATATGATTTTTGAAGATGAAGCGTAAGCGAAACAAGTGGGCATGTGAAAAGACTCGACAGCAGGTAGGATTAAAAGTACGAGATCGGAACCATTAGTGGTCCCAGCCAGCCATTCATTAAGAAATAATAACATTTTTCAAAATCAACCAGTAAAAGCTTTCCAAGGAACGACTCCCATATCTGCCCAGTAATAAAAAATCATTTCCAACGCCTGCCGGTATTCTCGCTTCCTCATTTTTGAACACCCATATTTCCATCATGCTCTGCTAACTGCGCCAGCAACTCTATCCAATATTGGGATAGACTATCGCTGCGACACTGTATAAACCCAGTTTAAGGTATGTACCCAAGATTAGAGTATAAAAAACAGTTATAAATCCTTCATTTTCCTTCAGATGCAAATTACATGTTCTCCAGCTCGTGGTCGATTTGTCGATCCATAAATGTTCGGCGTTCACCAACAAGCTCGGTCTGAAGACGCTGTTCGACCAGAGCGCGGACTTGCTTCTTGGTCACAGTGTCTAGGTCAACCTCGCACAGAACTGAGCGGATAGACTCGACGATAGCCATGTCGTTGGGCCCCGCGTGGCCATGTTGGAAGTCGAACGAGGACTGCGATCGCATGGCATCCGGCATGGGAGACCGAGCACCACTGCTGAAACCCAGAGCAGTGCCAGATCGGCTATGGCCACCGCCAGTGGCGGGTGAGAGATTGGCCTGGCCACGGAGGTTGCTCACGCTGGGATGTTGGCCAGGGTAGTCCTGGTATGGTGACTGGCTACGCATGTCATGAACACCTGTGCCCATAGACAACATCGACTGTCGATGCTGCATGGGAGAATCTTGGAAGCCCATGGTCGATGTGCGACCGTTGTTGAAGGCGGGAGACTGAGGAGGCATGTAGGTGTTGCGGCCAGGCATAGCAGTCAAGACAGAGCCCTGAGGGCCAGCAGAGTACACAGACTTGATCTCATCAAGCTCATAGTTGTCACCATAGGAATAGTCGGTCTTCTCTTGGTATCCACCACGACGTCCAGGCAGGTTGTTAGCTAGAGCGTAGTCATCCCAACGCTGCAAAGGAATAGAACGAGGGTCGAAGCCCTCATCGTCAACAGCGACGACCTGCTTGTTGCCCTTCTCTCCAATGACGATACGGGTGTTACCCCACGAAAAGTTGTCCTGGTTCCAGAAAGAGTAGAGGGGAAGGATGAAGGAGTAGATTGGGAAAGCAAGGAGATAGATAATCATCCATCCAATGTGCTGCCACTGCCTCTTGAGAATGAAGATAAGAGCCTGGAGACCATAAACAGCAGCAATCATAGCAATTGAGATGTATGGAATGGGTCCAGAGCCGGTGGCCAGAATGTAGATAAGGTAACCAATGTAAACACAGGTCGAGGGGAGAATAATGGTACCGCAAAGATCAATAAACACAACAAATCGCATACTGAAACAGCAGAAACCACAGAGTTCCTTCAGTTGCATAAGTTCAACAAGGTTGTGAATGGTCGAGTTGATCCATCGTCGACGTTGAGACAACAGAACACTCCATGACTCGGGGGCAGCAGTCTTACACTGGGCATCGGGAATGAACTTGTAGGACATCTCAGGGAAGTACTTGGTCATCAGGGTGGTAAGATAACGATCCTCACCCAGAGACAGAAGGTTCTTCTTGTGGAGGGTGTCTACATCACAAACACTGTAGTCCTTGATAACAGCATCAGAAATGATGAGAGGCTTGCCCTTGTCAACACTTCGGAGACGGTACATGGTGAAGCTAAGGGAGGTTAGGAATTGACATAACGGGAGGCAGGGTTAATAAACATACCATCCAGGCAAACAAGTAACGCTGCCAAAAAGAGATTCGAAGGCCTTTGCAAGGTGATGAGAGATGAAGTATTCGTAAACCTGGATCATGGTCCACCAAGTCTTTTCATCGTTCTCCAGGGTAGTTTCACCACAAATACCAGCAATCTTGGCGTTGTGAGCACAAGCAGCAACAAGACGGTTGAGCGAGTCTTCCTCGACACAGGTATCGGCATCGACCATGAGAAGGTACTCATAAAGCTCAGGATCCACACCAATAATGTTGTTGACCTGATGGAACATTTCAAGCTCGAGGGGAGACATGGGTGCTCGGTGGTGGACTCGGTTGAGGAAGCTCATGAGCAGGATCTGAGAATCACGTTTGCCACGGTTACCAGGCTTGGCCTTTGACTGCTCAGACTCCTTTCCAACCTTGACGACGACGATGTAGGGAACAACGTTGCCCTCAAACTCGTAGAGACCAGAGTAAACCTTGCCGTAGTTGAGTTGCTCACTGCTAGAGCCGACGGACTTGAAAGGAAGCGCAGGAGGATCAACCTTGGGATCAACACCAAGAATGTCGAGAACAATCTTGGGGGTGGGGCGATCATTACCTTGACCAACGACGACACCATCGCAAATGACACAGATGAGCTTGCGCTTGTTGTCGTACTGGAGGGCAGTCAATGAATCGAGAGCCTTTCGAAGAGAATCCTCGCCCTCGGTGTAGACAGGCACTTGGCAGATGACAAACTTATCCTGGGGTGAGGGACGTCGCTTAGATCCAAATTGAAGGGCAGCAAGGAACTTGACGGCGGTGACGATGCAAATGATGACGGCGAAAGCCAGAAGAAGGTAGTTGTTGACCTGGCATCGTGGCGAATCACGGAAATCAAGGATACCCTTATACGCAATGTTTTGAATGCACTGCCAACTGTTCTTAAGGTTGGCACTGACAGTCTCGTTCTTTGCGTTGGCGATGAG